TGAAGGCAAGTGCCACCACCCGACTACAGCAGAGAACTTCAACAAGTTCTCGTGTGCTACAGGGATGGATGCGTGACAGCATTGTTGATTACGCAAGAACCCGCGAAGCCCCTCCAGCAGCTTCTTGATGATGCGTTGGAGAGCAAGAAAAAGACAGAGCGAATCGCTGCGGGGATCTCACTGGTGATGAGCGAGAAGGAGCTCCAGGCATTCAATGACTTGAAGGGCAGTTTGTGTAACGCAGCGATGCTGGCTCACCCCAACGACGAGGCAGGCTTGCGAGAAATTGGATTACCTATTGTTGAGACCTCAAGGTTTTAAATTTTTCTGTGATCACCGCAATTTAATTCACATCTTCGCACCGTCCGCAGAGATGAAGAAGCACGTCAGAGGGAAACTGCTGAGATGGTCACTAATAATGGAGCACCGCTACGTCATCGAGCACATTAACGGTGAATTGAACGTATGGGCAGATTTAATACCGAGGTGGGGAGATTCTCCACAGCCAACTAGCAAGATCTTCCGTGTGCAGACCCGTAGCGACCGGAACCAGTTGCAGATACGACCACTAGATGACGACCAACTACAGTGGCCTTCGTTGGACGATGTTTTAGATGCACAACAGCAGCATGTGCGCTCACTACCTGCGGTTAAATTGGTCGAGGATGAACAAGGTCTACTGAGGACTAATGGTAGAGTGTGGATTCCATCTCGATCTACTGAACTTGTACGACGAGTGTTCATTGTGGCTCATTGTGGAGCACAGGGGCACCGCGGACGCCAATCTATGGAACTCCATCTCAGCCGATACTGTTATGTGGGCAATTTACGAGCTTCAGTGGATAAATTTCTTTCTCGCTGTCTACTCTGCCTACATACGAAAGGGGGGAAGGTGATACCAAGACCGTGGGGAGAAACATTCGAGCAGAGAACAGAAATGAAGCTCTTCACTGGGATTTTTTGTACTTGGGTGATAGCTTTGGGACCAGCAAGTACCTGCTGGTACTGAAAGACGACTGCACCCACTTCTCGGAGCTGGTCGTCTGTGATTCACCGACAAGAACTGTAGCAGCTGAAGCACTGCTAGCGTGGCACAGCCGCTATGGAATACCCAAGACCTGGATCAGAGACAATGGGAGTCATTTCAGGAACGAAGTGATTGGAGATTTGTGTCGGTGGCTAAAGAGCAAGCAGGTGTTTACAGAGGCCTATTGTCCTTGGATCAACGGAACGATTGAGCGTCTGAACAGAGACATCTGGAAGGTGTTCAGGACGATGCTACTCGACTACAAGCTGGACACCAAGGATTGGACAGCGTTGGTACCTCTTGTTCAGGCCAACCTGAAACATACGGATGTACCTTCACTCGGCGGACGAGCGCCAGTAGCGATGTTCACAGGTTTGCCATGCCCATCACCGCTTGAAGTTATATTCGTGGACACTGAAAAAGGCCCAAAGAACATTCCGGTGGTGAACCTGAGTGCTATGCTTAAACATCAACTACTAGATCTTAGAGAGAGTGTTCAAGAGATGCACCACAAGATGAAAGACCAACGTGCAAAAAAGCAGACACTGCTGAACCAGAAACCAAGGCGTGGTGAGAGATTGGTCGACTTCTCAGTTGGTGACTATGTTTTAAAGTCACGGGTCGATGAGAAGGTAGGCAACAAGTTGCTGGTAACATGGATCGGACCCTTTGTCATCACACGCGCGGACTCACACTCATTCCGTGTGAAAAATCTCCTTAGTGGAAAGGAGAATGACGTACGCGCATCCCGTCTCAAATTCTACGCGGACAACGACCTGAACGTCAACGAGGAACTCTTGGAACACATTGCATCACAGGGCATCGTACTAAAGGTGAACATCATCCGTGACCATCGTTGGAATGACCGGATCAAAGACTACGAACTGCTGATGCATTGGCATGGTTTAGAGGAAATTGAAGATTCATGGGAGCCCATGCAGTCTATGCGCAAGGATGTAAGGCTCATGGTGGAAACTTATGCAAAACAGACTCATGATAACGACTTCATGGCAGCAGATGAGAATCGCCGTAGCTACTTCGTGACCGACGGGTGCTGGCGAACTACAAAATGA